TTAGCTACGGACCTCCAAAACACAATCCGACCACGCCCCTAAACTCGAAATCACCCAACGGAGCTAACAAAACCATCGAATTTCCATTCCGAGGCCGTCTTCACACTGTTCCGAGTACGGTCAACTTTCCAACACTTGCTCTCATTTAGGGACTAAGTGTCCCAAAACTCTCTGAAACTCAAAACCAAACGTCCCGGCAAATCAAAATAGCATAATTAAACTTGGGGAAAGCAGTTAATAGGGGATCGAGGCGTAAATTCCTAAGACGACCGGCCGGGTCATCACATCCTCCTACACTTAAACATTCATTCGTCCTCGAACGAGCATAGAGACATACCTGAAGTGAAGCTGCTCATGGCCCCAAACTGCTGAATGACGCGCTAGAGCTCAAAACGACCCGTCGGGTCGTTACAATCGAACACCTGCAATAAGTTAGTATAAAACATAAATGAAAAGAGAGAGGGTTGTTCCTTAGCAATGATAGCGTTCGAGCCTTGATACGTTTCAATTGCTTGCTCCGAGGATGCGGCACAGTCCTTTATTCACTCATTCGGATGTAGACGAGAATGTCAGTTGTGGTTGCTACTTGGCTGTTTGCTTGTCTTTTGGCTTCTTCAATATAGAGGGCGTCGATGCCGGTGCCATGTCGTGCACCGCGAACATCTCTCTTGTTGCATGCTGCTCCCCGTACACTGCTTTTACTCCATCATCGATTGGAAATTTCAGCATTTGATGAAGGGTTGATGGCACTGCCCTCATACTGTGTATCCACGACCTTCCAAGTAAGGCGTTGTATCTCATGTCACCTTCGATGATATAAAACTTGATATCTTGGATTGTACCGTCCACGTTGACCGGGAGGGTGATCTCCCCTTTCATTGTCTCGCTCGCCATGTTGAAAATCCATTGAGAACTCGAGAGGCAAGTACGATCTGGTCGAGCAGTCCGAGCTGCTCGACCACCCTTGACCTGATTATATTGGCCGAGCTACCTGGATCCACGAGCACACGTTTAATTTGAAATTTATTCAAAAGAAAAGAGATTACCAGTAAGTCATTATGAGGCTGAGACAAAGTCTCGATGTCCTCTTCGCTGAATGTGAGAGCATCCTCTGGAATGTAACTCCGAGCTCGCTTTTCCCTGGTGATGAATATATTCGTCCGCTTGACAACGGGTCCCTGTGGGGTGTCGACCCCTCTAATGATCATGTGGATGACGTGCTGTGGTTCTTCTGGTTCGTTCTTCCTGTTCGTCTCTCTTTCCCAAAATTGGTTTTTAACTCGATCGCTGAGGAACTCTCGAAGGTGCCCTTCGCTGATCAGTCGGGCTACCTCTTCTTTGAAGCTGTCTGCAATCCTCGGCCTTATGACCATGAGTGCCGTGATATTTGCATACCAAGTTAGGGTTCCTCTGTGAAGGATCTAATAGTATGGGTTTTGGCCACCTGGTATCTTTGATTTTACCTATGGCCGATACGATGTCCGAGACATCGACGTTGAAGTTGTACTCAGATAGCCGGGGTGCCTCTACCGGCCCAGTGTGCCTATCAAACCCGGGTTTACTCATGAGTCCCCAGGAACTTTGACCTTGATCTGTCCTTCAATCGCCTCGTGGTTTATTACGTCTCGGGGCGTTTCTTCGATCTTCTACATACGGCTGGTATCTTTCCTTGTTTGGTCTCGACTCCCTTTCTGTAAACCTTTGTTCCTTTGTTAAGAGCCCGCTAGGATATACTGAGCCCGAGGGGGCTCCTAATTGGTCGTCTTCGACCCTGATCTTCGATTGGTACCTGTTGTGCACATCCGCCCAGGCCACGATGGGATATTCGATCAAATTTTGTTTTAGCTGCTTCGAAGCTACCGAGCTTCATTCGTTCAAGCCCTGAGTGAAGGCCTGTACTGCCGAGTCATCGGAGACTGGTGGTAATTCCATTCGCTCCATATGAAAGCGAGATTCAAATTCCCTTAGCATCTCGTTTTCTCTTTGTTTGATTTTGAAAACATCGAACTTCCTGGTGGCGACCTTGATGGCTCCAACATGTGCCCTCACAAAAAAATCTGCCAACATGGCAAACGAATCTATCGAGTTCGGGGGTGGGTTGTGATACCACATCATGGCCCCTTTCGACAATGTTTCTCCAAATTTCTTCAGCAAGACGGATTCAATCTCGTCATCCTTTATGTCATTCCCTTTTACGGCACAAGTATAAGCGGTAATGTGCTCATTGGGGTCCGTGGTCCCGTTATACTTCGGGACATCGGGCATTCTGAATTTCTTCGGGATGGGCTTCGGAGCCACACTTGATGGGCATGGTTTCTGTACGAACTTCTTTGAATCTACACCCTTCAGAATCGAGGGTGCGCCCGAGATCTGATTGACCCTCGAGTTATAAGTCTCCACCTTTTTATCGTTAGCCTCTATCTTCTTTTCTCCTGATTCAATCCTTTTGGTGAGGTCCTCAAGCATCTTCATAATAGCGGGGTCTGCTGCTGACCGTTGTTACTCGATCTCTCTGGTGCCTGCTCGACTCGAGGAGCCGTTTTCGGTGCTGCTGTGCTTGGAGTTTTCTGTTGACTTTGTAGCTGAGCAATAGCCACTTGTTGTGCTTGTAACATATCAAAAATGACTTGAAGGCTAACTTCTCTTTCCTCCCAAGCTAGAGTCCCCTGTGCTTCATGTTGGTTTTCCCTGCGCACACTTCCGTTGGTATGAGAGCTCACATCGACATGCACAGCGTTGCGTGAGCCCACGTTGATGGGGATTTGTACTGGTGCCACCCCAGGCTTTTGCGGTGGTACACCGGCATCTGCATCGTTCTCTCCATGAAGCCCAATACCGTTGTTTTCATGTGCATCTGCTGAGTTAGATATTTTTTGACCTGAAATCAAAGATTCTTGGACAAGAAAAAGTGTGAAGAATAACTTGTGTTTTCAGAAAACTAGCACCAAAACAATCACTATTATTTTTAGCCCCACGGTGGGCGCCAACCTGTTTACCTTGAAAATGGTATTAACAATTATATTTAATTTTGTGGTTCTAAAAATATGTGATTTATTTCAATACTAGTTGTTTGGCAATAGATGCTGAGTATAAGTAAGGAGAAACAAGATATGCAAACCAATGCTGTCGCAATACTGGGCCTCGAGCTGGCTGGAACAGGGGGCTTCGAGGTCTAGTTAAGGCAATTAGCGATGAACAGTTGATGAAGAAACTATGATAACGAAGGCCTCAAAGATAGCCTTTAGCGGTTAATAATGGGCAATAAATGATGAACAATAAATGAACAAGCAATGAATCTGTAGAGTAATTGTTGAACACGTTTAGGCAAGAAAAGCAGAGAATGTTCTATTGTATTCAATATTTGTCCCCGTTACAAAATGACAAGGGTCCCCTTTATATAGGAGGGGGGAATCCCAACATAGTACATATCTAATAATGACGAGGAAATGCTATTGGTACAGTTGTATAATGGCTTAGTACGGATTTGTACTATTTCTCGCAGACTTTGTCAGTTCTAATCACGTACCCTCGGGAATTTTCCGTCTTTCCTTGACGGTCGTCGATTTTCATGCTGCCTCGAAGTACGTTGTGGTGAGTCTTCGATATACCCTCTCGAAGCGAGTGTTTCGGGGACGAGCCTTAGACTGTGCTTTGAGCCCATCGAGGCCGGGCTTGAAACGCCATAGAAGCCTTAAAATCGGCCTTCCCTGATTTTGACCGTATAAGATCTCTCAAACTTAAAGAACCCCCAATTTGAGGCTTTACAAATGTAAAAATTAAACTCATTAGTTATTCATTAGTTATCCATTTACTAAGTGAATAATATGGTTTATCCATATTTGACCCGTTTCTTAAAAATTCTTATCGACTCATTTTTTAATAAATAATATGAGTGAATAACTGTTTTTTTTACCATTTTGCCACCACTACTCACGGTTAATAACCATTTACCCCAAAAGGCAGAAAAGGTTTCATGTTATTCCCTTCAATTTGAACCCATTGATATGTCTCGCAGTACCTGCAGCCCATTAATTGCAAAGTGCAGTTAATTTGAGCAAAATTATATGTTTGGTCAACCAGGCAGATAGATGCACCGTCTAGGCGCCGCTTAGCCTATTGGTTATTTGACACGTTTAGAATTTAAATTGTCTCTTTGCATGGTTATTAGCTGGCTTCTTAGTCCAAATAATTTAGGTTTCTTTTGACTTCGACTATTGTCCAATCCAATGGACTTCTCCTTGGTAATCATTTGATCACATAACACGTTGAGGTGTTCAAATGATCGTTGTGGACAACTTGAAAGGTCATTTATGCATTTCGCCATACGGTTAATAGGCGGTGTTTCTTTTATGGGTCCCACAATTCATATATGTGTCCGTATTTTATAATTCCACAATTTACAAACGCTCTATAAAGTCTAAGTAGGTAAACTTATAGCCCGTTTGGCCAAGCTTCTAAAATCAGTTTATTTTGAGAAGTGCTTTCTCAAAAGTACTTTTAGAAAAAGTGCTTTTGGTGAGAAGTAGTTTGTATTTGGCTAATTAATTAGAAAAGCACTTTTGTGCAGTAATTAGTGTTTGACCAAACTTTTGAAAACTGCTTCTAAGAGTATTTTTCTCAAAAATGCTTCTCAGAAAAGTGCTTTTGGAGAGAAGCTACTTTTTTCTGCTTCTCCAAAACTGCTTATGCTGCTCTTCAAAAGCACTTTTTTTTCTTCCAAAAGCTTGGCCAAACAACTCAATTTTTGGCCAAACGTGTTTTTGGCAAAAAAAAAATACTTTTGGCCAAAAAAAAAAGAAAAAGAGCTTGGCCAAACAAAAGTAGTCATTTTGCTTCTCTTTTTTGACTTGATGACCATTATTTGAAAATCTAAACGAACGTCTTTAATATCTCAAATTACGTGAAGCCTATCAATGCACCTTTTATAGAAAGTGACAGATGCCCTTCTCTATAAGATGGGGTGGCCCATGATAATTTCCAGAAATTCCAGCAGCCTCCAGAACAGTATTTCTTAATTCATCTTTGTATGTTAATTTGCTTGACTTCATTTTCTTAAGTGACAAGATACAAAAACCTCCATATTCAGCTACGGAATTTGTTAATTATTTAGGATGATGGAGAAACGTTTGAATACTGTTGTGGAGAGAATGACGAGTTTGCCAAGATTAATATGGGAAAAAATCTGGAAAGTTGGGAAAGAAGATCGAAGAAGAGTAATTCACTCACTAAAAATGGGACTGTCCTTGACATTGGTCTCTTTATTGTATTTACTGGAGCCATTGTTCAAAGGCATTGGAGAAAATGCTATTTGGGCTGTTATGACTGTTGTGGTTGTTCTTGAATTCACAGCAGGTAATTATTCCATATTGATTTTATAATTCCATGTTAGTCAATGAATGACATCGTTTTTAATTTGTTTCTTTAATTATGGATAGGGGCAACATTGTATAAAGGGCTGAATAGAGGACTTGGGACAGTATTTGCAGGATCATTGGCATTCTTGATTGAGTGTATTGCCACAGAATCTGACCATATATTTTATGCTGTTTTTATTGGGACCTCAGTATTTTTAGTTGGTAAGCTTCACTTATATTGAATTGGAAGATTCCAATAGAAAAATCTTCCACAAAATTAACAACTGTAATTTTTGATTCATTGTCACCCTCTCTTTTCTTACTTTACTTTATTTTACCCTGAATAAGAAAAAGACATTTCCTGGATCTAATTGATTCATTTCTAATCTTACTGCAGGAGCCGTGGCTACGTACATGAGATTTTTTCCTCACATAAAGAAAAACTATGACTATGGTGTGGTGATATTCCTCTTGACCTTCAACTTGATCACAGTGTCAAGTTATCGTGTTGATAGTGTGTTGAAAATTGCCCATGAACGCTTTTATACCATAGCCATTGGCTGTGCTATCTGTCTCCTCATGAGCCTATTGGTATTTCCAATTTGGTCAGGAGAAGACCTCCATATATCGACTGTTGCCAAATTTGATGGCTTAGCAATATCTATTGAAGGTAGGCTAGATTTTAGATGTTGAACAAGCACAATATATTTTCATTTTGTTCGGACTAAGTTTCCTTAAACTTTGATACTATTTTTAGCAAAAGCTACCAACCTTGTTGAGCTAGGAATTAATAAAATTTGTGGCATGCTCGATTTTTTTACATGATAAGTGTGATTTAAACTATTATAGGAGGTTAGTTATTCACCAGTCTCATTTCGTGTGATGCGCTTTGACTGTAAACATAATTTAAGAAAAAAAAAAGAATTTTAAAAATTATACTCTAAAACAAACTTTTGCTTTTCTATAAATCATCTCGGTACAAAATGAAAAATTTAAAGTAAAATTGTTTCGGATTATAAAAATATATTACTTTTTGGAACAGACTAAAAAGGAAAGACATCAAATAAATTGGGATAGAGAGAGTACTATTTATCATGTACACCTATTCATGCTTTTCATAGAAATTTAAATGTAATTACCTTTTAATTTGCGGGTGCACAAATTTAATTTAACGTCATAACAAAATTAATGGATAATCCGTGAGGACTGTGACTATTTTATATCCGTTTTAAGGTTGCTAACTCCATAAAATTGTTAGCTTTAATTAGTGCCTCATATTCATATATTATCATACTGTATATAATAGTAAAAGTTATTGATTATTTAACTAAACTTTTCAGGTTGCATTAAAGAGTACTTTAGCAATAAGGAGGAACAAGAAAAAGCCAGAGAAAATTCGATGGAAGCGGAGGATCCCATTTACAATGGTTATAAGGCTGTTTTAGATTCCAAATCATCTGATGAAACTTTGGTAAGTAGCTGAATTATTTGAGATAGTTATTAGCAATTGAATTATAAAATTTAATTTGCTCCTATCAAGATAACTTAATTAAGTAGAAAAAAATGTGAATGGATCAGGCACTATATGCAAGTTGGGAGCCAAGATATTTAAGACGTTGTTCGAGGTTGCCGTGGCAGCAATATGTAAAATTGGGGACTGTTCTTCGCCATTTTGGATACACACTAGTGGCTTTACATGGATGCCTGCAAACTCAAATTAAGGTAATACTCCTCCGCTCCTCTCATAATCTTAACATATTTTCCTTGTCTTTTTTTTTTTTTTTTTTTAAATTTTTTATTTTAGTAAAGGGTCCTTTTGCTTTAGGCATATGACATTCGAAAACCATTGTTTCATTCATTCATATTAACACCAAATTGACCAACTCAGAGGTAAACCACATGATGCGTTTGGTTAGACGATGGAGATGAGTCTCAACCATCTCAACTACAACAACAACAATAATAATAACATACCCATTATGATCCCACAAGTGAGGTCTGAGAAGGATAGAGTGTACGCAGACCTTACCCCTACTTTATGTAAGATAGAAAGGTTGTTTCCGATACGCCCTCGGCTCAAGAAAAGCATCTCATTGGTAGTTTTTTTTTTTGCTTTCTTTTTTAACGGGTTTGCACTACGTTAATGTTAGCACTGTCTTGACGCATGGATCATCAGCAAATTTTATATAAGTGGAAAGTAGACCATTGATTACGTTTGGTGGTTATTGAAATAGGGTAGAGATCGAGTGTACACCTTCTCCATTTGAAGGCTGTTGGATATCCTTTTTCTCTAGTACTATCATAACAAAGTTACCATATTCAGTAATCTTTATAAGTTTTGTGCTCGCTAAGTCAACAAGAGCAGCATGTGATGCCTAAGTTATGTGCTCACTAAGTCAACAAGAGCAATATGTGATGCTTCTTATCTAAAAAAGGCTAAAACACACTCGTCAAATAAATTAAATACAGAATATATACTTTTGATGCAATTATTAAGTTGTGTTTTCTGGCTTTAAAAAATCCAATACTATCATTTTATTTTATCTCTGACTGGGATCGAAAAGATAGATTTACTTTCAAGTGGGATCATACACGTGATCATATTGTTTCTTCTTGGAACTAATTTTTCCAAATTTCCTCTGCATTGTGGCCACAAGTGTGACTCAAATAGACAGTACGTATATCAAACGTATTAGATCTTTAGATTAAATGATCTCTTATGTGATTAAATGTTTTAGCTAGTTTTTACTTTCTAAAAGTGTGTCTTGAATTTTTTTTGTAGACTCCTCGATCAGTTCGTGTACTGTTCGAAGATCCATGCAATCGACTCGCCAAAGAAGTGACAAAGGTACTAAAGGAACTAGGCGATAGCATAAGAAATCGTCGTCAATGCTGCCCAGAAATCCTCTCCAACCATCTCAATGAAGCTTTACAAGACCTCATCAATGCCTTAAAATCCCAACCAAGACTCTTTCTTGGAACTAATAGTAATATAAACATATTAGCCTTAGCAGGCGCAATAGCCTCTAAGCAAAAATCTAGTAAAGATTTTGTAGTCTCTTTATCGAGTATTGACACATCCAACGAAGGTCCTCCTCGTCTTGGACTTGGCCGTGACTTTTTGGCAGGTCAGGCTCATGGGACTACACCAGCATTATCGAAAGACACGTCTAAAAAGGACTCTGAACCACAAATGAAATTAGAGGCTGGTGACAGAAAGAGTTTGAGGCCCACATTAAGCAAGATTGGAATTACTAGCCTCGAATTTTTGGAGGCACTACCATTTGCAGCTTTTGCTTCTTTGCTAGTTGAAATAGTTGCAAGACTTGATCTTGTTATTGACGAAGTTGTAGAATTGGGAAGGGTAGCTCATTTCAAGGAGTATAATCCTGATGATGATCATGTGGTTGTGATCACTTGTGATCAGAATCCTAGAGTGGAAGATGACATTGTTATTAGCAGATTACAAAACCAATTCCCCTCCTCCCATGCAGCAGATTAACTCTAGACTTTAGTGGTTGGGGTTGATAGACAAACTATAGAGAAAAGAGAAGGATTTCATGGCGGATACATTTTGCGTTTTTGAGTATATTATACATTTAAATTATATATATACTTCATCTTGTTGACTATTTAATTACGCAGTTTAAAATAAACTTAGGGATTGTTACACAAATATCTCCAGATTCAATGTTTACTTTTTTAGCTGGTATGCATAAATTATACATTAATTATACACCGTATATATATATATATATATGGAGGCTATTTTTTGTTTAAGAGATTGTGCGGACTACGCATTAGCTGCTTTATATGTCCTAACAAAGGTAGGTAATTGAGCATATAAGCAGTGATTGCACGTGTATCTACGTTAAACTCAAGATTTGCACACTAACTATATAAATAAAGTTATAATAATATGTAATCTATATAAATTCTATACTCGTCTTTGCCTTCATTCGAGAACGAATTAGTCACGTAAAAGAGGTACTATATAAAAGGTCTTTTGGTATGTAGTTTGTCCCTTTGACAACAAAAAGAGGATCAAAATGGAGAAGCCAAAACATTACTAATAGTATTGACTATATATACTGAACTTCGACGTCGAAAATCCTAATTTCCTAATCCTCCACAGGAATTCTGACAAAAAAAAAAAAAAAAAAAAGAAAATGGAGGATGAATAAAGTACCTGGCGGGCTTTAAAAAAACAAGACAGTAAAGAGGGCCCTACCGGGTTCGAACCGGTGACCTCTTGATCTGCAGTCAAATGCTCTACCACTGAGCTAAGGACCCTTGTTGTTGCTTCCAAACAAAATTACTGATCACTATTATTTAAAATTCGCATAAATAATAGAAAAAAATTTCATTTAAAATATCAAAGAATTAAGTAAAAACATCTTAAATTATTAGTTACTTGAAGAAAGCAAAAAAGTGAAGGATAAGTTGTGGGGGAATGGATATAATGAGTAGTATTTAAAATTACCATTACAATTTACATCTATAGATAATCTAATTACATATATGTTTTCTATAGAATATCAGGCACCTTTCTTTTCTTAATCATCCCAAATGAAATTATCTAACTATCAACTTTTTTTTCTTGCACATATCGATTCTATATTACGACATAGTATTAAACTACATTATTATCACATATTATATACACAATATAAATTTTTTCTATGTTGTGGATGTATATAAGATAAATCCTAAATAGCTAAGAGGACAAAAGTTTCAAAAAAATTTCATACAGATAAGGTTTTGTATGAAAAGAAAAGCGGCAAATAGAAGTAAGCGAAGGAGAGTGCTCAATTTGCATCAGCCATCTTCAAATGACTTGCTCCATAGCAATACTAAATTCCATTGCCAGTCCTTATTGTAAATGTTCTCCGCGGAGTTTATTTAACTGGGATTTTGGTAATTATAAAAAGACTGATGATAAACCACAAGTTAGATACCATGATCTTGATCTTCCTTTCCCTCCTTCCCTTGTCAGCAAAACATTCTTGAAAGGTACTTATTTCTTTCTCTTCTACATATAATTCACATAAAGAATCCCAAGCCTAGTGTAATTGCACAAGTGGGGTTTAGTGTAATTACTCGTGTAGGGTTTTGGGAGGGTAATGCGTACACATATCTTAACCCTACCTTGTTAGAAGAGGCGCGCCGCACACCTATGCCATAGGTAGAGGGGTCAATTCTATGTATACATGTATATGTCATTAAAAAATAGTGATATATTAGTAGCGAACAACCTATATACAAAGCAGATTTTTGGTTGAATTAAAAAGTGCACCCGCTGCTTATCAAGGATATTCTTTATTTTTTGTTTCTCTGATGATAATTTCACAGGAAGGGAACTAAAGTGCTGCTATAAGGCATCAGTGGATGGATTTAGTGCAACTGAATTTCACAACAACAGTGATTTCAAAGGACCATGTGTGATTATTGGCTATACAACAAAGGCCTTTAAGTTTGGAGCATTTAATCCAGAAGGCTACAGAAGTACAGATGATTATTATGACACTTTTGATGCATTTCTCTTTTACTGGGCTGAAGATGAACAACAACCAATAATCTTGCCTAAAGTAGGGGGAAGTGGTGCTGCTCTTTTTGATTATGCTAGAGGAGGGCCACAGTTTGGTGCTGACGGATTGCTAATTGGACCTCCATTGGCTCCTGTAATGGGTGGATTTGCAGGACCTGATACTAATTCTGGGGTTGGTGATTTAAGGCAAGCTAAATCAAGATTGGGACTTTCTTATGCTAAAAGGCCAGATGGTAAAGAGTCATTGTTTGGAGATGAGTCTAAGGCTGAACTTGATGAAGTTCTCGTATTTTGCAGTCCTCAAATTGCTAGCTTATATTGACTCAATTTTGGCAAAAATGGATGCCATTGCCTCAGGGAAAGTAAGTCTCTATGATCTTGAGGTGACTAAAGAAAATATGTATTAGTTCTCTACTAGGTCTTAAAATGTAGCAGTGTAAATTTTATTTTGTTGTATAGAAATGGGCTGCAACAGGATTTTTATTCTTTGTTTCTCATTTAATTTATAAACTCTCTCAAGTTATTCACCAAGACCATCATACTGTGATTGCCTAATGAGTCAAACATGTTCGTGCCATCATATATATCTGGTACATTATATTTTCAGTAATATATATATACATATAAAATACTTAATTCTTTTGACCAAAGGGTGATCGGGCAGTGCTATGTGTTAGTCGCCCCTGCTGTGAACTAGCGGATACAGTCAGACAGTAGCTAGTTTGGAGAGATTGTACTTTCTTGCCTTACTAAGTTTCCACAGTTTGCTACAGATGGAGATGTTCTCCATTACCTGTAACTAATGATATTGCCACCTGCATGCCATCATTTTTCAATAAGCCAAAGTGGAGCATAAGTTTAAAGTACAGGCCAAGAGGAGTACATGAAAGGAAAAGCATACATATAACTTCATAAAGGATATCTGGTTTTATTGTAGGATTATTTTCTAAGTGATAAAGGGGCCACACACTTCTTTGATTCCTCTCTAGCTAGCTAACATATGGTCTTATTGCTGAACTAATAGTGAGTAGGAAAGAGGAATGTTTAATCAGTTGGTGTACTTATCTTTCTCTTTTTGAATTAATGGCTTCTGAGCTTTTGGTTACACTTTTCCAAATCTTTGTTAGTGTTGTTTCTTTGATTTGATTCATTTTATTACTGAAGTAAGAATGCTTGAGAGGACATCTTTTGTAATTGAGTTCAAGGAAACTTAAAGCAGCAAATGTTTGATTCTCACTTTTATGGAGCTTGCTTTTGTATTTTTCTTTATTGGTTTAGCAACTTCATTTTAGATTACCTTGATCCAGCATCAGATATGTCCAAGGCAAGAAATAATAACTCTTTGTTCTTGATAATTTTGTGAAGTACTACTGTTAGTGACCGTAATCTTTGAAACTGTCACGAGCACAAGGTGAATATGACTGAAATCTTTTACCATTCACTCTTTTAGTCAAAGAAATGTTGCATCAAATGGATTTGTTTGAAGTTAGAAATCTAGAGGGAGCAAAGAAATGGTGATTCTTCTATCAAGTTTCATAACACCCTGAAGGTGTTATAGACACAATTTCTGGTGTGGAAATAGGCCTTCAATTTCCAAGTATATGGGCGACTGCTCGTTACCTCTTCATTTGCATCTGCCATCTTATTAGGTTTTGAACCCACAAGATTGTTTTGGATATGTGCTTTGCCTAATGTCATCTAAATGGCAATTAAAGTGCCAATGATGATCAAATGATGTCAGATATAGCATTCTGAATCATTTTTGTAAGAGATTGGGAAAGGCAATTAAAGCCCTTAATCATGTAATTGAACTTTAAAATGTTAATGGCTATGAAAATGATGCTAAAAAGCTCAATCCTTTAACTTTCTTTTTTACATCCTTTGCTTGTGAGTTACTTTAGTGTTCCCTATTAGGATGGTAAGAGCAAGATTCTTTCTGGTAATTTGTTATAGATTCTTTTGATCATGAATGCTTGGAACTATCAGAATCACATCTGTTGATGTCGAACAAACGTTCAAATTAGTGACCGGAAATAGTTAACTCTAAATTTGCATCTCATCCATATACCTATGAGTACAAGTGAAGCTAGGTTTATAGATATATAGTTATTGGGAAGCTATCAAGACCATAATCAAACTAGAATAGCAAGTTGTGCATATGAATCTCAGGCTGCATTTGACTAATTAGTTATCCAATTATCAACAGGGCACTTCACTCTATTAGAACTTTAAACCATGTTTTTTCTTTAAATATTGGTTGCATGTGTTGAAACAGTTCAAAAACTTTGTAATGCAACCAATAGTTGCTGATTAGAGGAATCAATAGTCACTAACTAGGAAGCTCTACTGATGAACAGAAGCCCTGGAACAAGTTAATACAAGTATTTAACCATGCATTTCAACTCTGCAAAGCTGCTTCGGCATTTCTGGTACAGGAAAATTCTGAAAATTTGGAATATGTAGAGTGGGAAGACACTAAATTCATAAGGTCTAAGGCATTTTCGCTACATTTTGATTGATACCTGGATGTTTGAAGCGTCAAAAAACATTAATTCATATAGTCTACATATATTTCAGCTCAGTTATTGGTTCTTGATAACATTTTCATACATGTAAATGATCAGAAATAGAACAGTGACATATATCAGAAAGGGAAAGGGGCTTCTATTTAAGAAGCGTACTTTAACAGAAGTTCAGCTACTAACTTGACCATATGTCCATATCCCAGTGGCATCGTTAAAAATGATCATCACTGGGTATCTCATACTTCAATGACAAAATATAAACACACGGAGCTGCATTGAGCTTTTCTTAGTATATTCTTACATCAAACTACTTAAAATATCTTCCTGTGACCATACACCATTATGTTTTCCCAATATCCCATTGTCACTACTCTGTCTGCATAAATGAGAGAGAAAACTTTATGCCTATTTCGCCTCAATGTTCCTCAGAAGAGATTTGGACTTCCCAATAAGTTGCTCTGGTTATAACCTTTATACGAAATATCCTCATTGCAATAGAATTCCATGTAGGTTCCCTCATCTGAGAAGGGAGGTGCAAAGCCATAGCCACTGAGATCACCAGAAAGTTCAACGTCCCCTCTAAAATTCGGGAAAGATGAACTTGATGTGAAGTCATATTGATCATTTGGCTGCCATGAAGTCGAGTTTGGGAAGTCATACACCGGATAATTTCCAGATATACTTTGTCCTTGAAGACATTCCTATATCCAGCCACCAAAATATTAATATGCAGTTCATACAAACAACCAGTGTGGAAACAGGAGTGAATGCATAGAAAGTAGAAAAACAGTAGTACCTTTGAAGGATCAAGAATCATATTCTGAGACATCCAGAGGTTTGCAGCATTTGTCCCCATTGCAGACTCGGACTCTCCTATTTGTGTTGTCTGATAAGGTGAACCGATAGGAGTTGAATAGTTGCTGTCGTTGCACACGTATGTATTTTGAGTACTTGGAATGTCATCAGAAAGGACAAGGGGTTCATTTGAGGTTACTGCTGATGTAAAAGCTTCATTGCTTGAACTGCATTCAACCTGTTTAGAGGTTGTTTCTGCACGACCATCACTTGTTTTCGATGAAATGTCCTTTCTCTTGATGACACGACAAAGAGCAAAAGGCCCCTGAAGATATTTAAATAGGAGTACTTCTTATCATGATCAATTTCTTGAAGGTTTTCATTAAGCTGAAGAACATTACATTATGATTAATCGAACTTACCTGGAAACTCGGAGTGCCTTGTGAGACATCATCACATAGACGATATTCATGCATCACCCAATCAGTTCTATCACCTAAAGGAGCTCTTCCACGATAGAAAACCAATGTCTTTCGGTATCCAACAACTGCAGGCTTACAGACCACTTTCCTGTCTTTCCCTGTTGCTTTCCAGTATCCACATTTTGTGGCTCGGTTGGTTCTCGAGCCATTCGGGTACTTCTTGTCCCGAGGACAGAAGAAATACCACTCCATGTCACGCTTTGGCAAGAAAGATTTCTCTGCATCCCAAAGACATGATATCAGTATCTACAAATACCAATATCAGAATAAGCATTTTAAGAACTAACTTAAAAAAAAAGAAAAAAAACCTCTAATGTCTTTATACATGTTTTTCTTTTTGATATGTGGTTAGGGTGTGAATATAGATAATAACTCCAGCTTTAAAGTGTGAAAAGAGAGATGCACTCCATCTTGTGACCATATATTATATGATTTGTAATTCATAAAAGAAATGGTTCTTAATGCGTAGGTAAGTTTTCAAGAGCAAATGCTGATCAAGAATGTAATACCTGGAAGCTCCCATGGGTCAAATTTATACAAGTCTATTACCGGAATGACCTCCAACTCAATCTCAAGTTCATCAGTTTTCCTTTTCAGGTAATATCCAACCAATTCCTCATCAGTTGGATGGAAACGAAATCCTGGAGGTAGTGATGTTCCTCCCATAATATAAATATAGCAAATTACTAAGTACTAACTACACACAAAATCTTCTAAAACTAGCTAGAATAGACCAGGCAGAAACTTCAACAGAAGTTAGAAGCAATGTGAAATTTAGCTAAGTGTCCCAACTGTACCTATTGAAAATTTGAAATATCCAAAAGTAAAAGCTTTTGGCTACACTAAATTTTGTCTCAAGAATTGCGAAAAATTTCCACAAAATGCACCCCTGGGACAACACAATCATCTTCTTGAAAAACTGTTCAAAACTGCCTTTCTTGCAAAAAGCCCCCCTCCCCCACCAATGTTTCTTTGAGATTGCAATTCAAAGGAAACTCAAGTGGACAGGTAGAAAATGTCACTATAGAGTTGTTGAAATTTTTCAAAGAAAGGATCTTTTCTAAAACTAACAAGTTTAAACAGTTGTAAACAATTTGATGATTTTGAGTGAAAAAAACAATGACCAGGTAAAGGTTTATAGTTAGTAAGGTATACTTAGTTTAGAGTCTATATAGAGAAGGGGGAAGATTGTGTAGAGTAAAAACATAGGAGTGTGGATGAGCTTTTATAGGAAATGAAGAGGCCAAAAGTCCAAAAATATGAAAACCGAAAGGTTTTGTAGCTTGTCTAATGTCTAGGCTACAGCAAATTCTACGAAAAAGACCCCACTAAAACCAGAACCTGATTCATACCTAGAAATAGTTATATCCTGCAAAAGCAACCACAACCGTGAGAATTCATGTAGTGGATTTTATAATTTTGTGTATTTTTTTGACATTAGTATTAGGCTGTAAAGTATTCTTCCAAATACATTGGTCAAAGGTGAAGGGAGCCTTGGCGTAACTGGTAAAGTTGTTGTTATGCGATCAGGAGGTCACAGATTTAAGCCGTGGAAACAGTCTCTTGCAGAAAATACAGGGTAAGGCGGCATACAATAGACCCTTGTGATCCGACCCTTACTCGGACCCCGTTTATAGCGTGAGTTTAGTGCACCAAGCTGTTGTTACATTGGTCAGAGTCTTTCCCTAGCTACTAGTGTTGAACTCATGTGGTCTTTCCACATCATCATGAGTCAGACAAAACTACTTTTGCTTGGTTTAATGGGAGTGATTTTGTCATGGTATGGCCCAGTGTTCGAAAGGAAGAGGTTCTTAAAGTGTTTGATGAGCTTATTCACACTTTTGTGTTGTCACCAAAGAGTACAAATTAGTGGAAACTCTCCTTCTGATTCTTTTTCAAATTACTTTTTTCTTTAATCAGATATCACTGCAGGGACTTTGAATTCACATTTCACTTGGTAAAGTTGCAAAGATCAGATTACATTGTATATTTGTATTAAACGTTGGTTGAGATATTATAAAGTGACATGGTAAGTTAAACGTTAGCCAAAACCAAGGTGATCCCCATTAAGTTATTAGTTTTGGCTGTGTCTAGTCTTTATTTAATTAATAAAGTTTTACGTAGGATGGTCCCCTACTCTCATTATCCTCAAGAAAAAGGTGCATTAATGTGATCTCATAAGATTTACTTGCTTTAATCCTTTTCACACTGAAAAATGAGATACGAGACATGTCAGAAATTATTCTCAAGCTGTATATACATTTAGAGCAACAACAGTTACGCTTTAATCTCAAACAAACTCTAGTTACACACTTAACTATTAGAAACCGTGAGGAGTTCATTTAGAGGAAAAAAATTCTTGTTAAATTGTTACTTTAAAGCATGCATATTAGTTCCATAATTTGGAGCAAACAAGAACTGAGTTTGGGAAGTTAGGAATATTTTCATGTCTTCCCTTTCGAAAAGCAACAATTAGAAAAGGCTGCAGCCTTGTCATCCTAATTCCTACATCGAGATTAATAGCTTCTATTGTATTAATGGGAACTGAAGAATGTTAAAGAATCAGATTTATAACTAAACAAGCCATAGAGGTCTCTTGTTTCTAGTTGTATTTTTCTTGATTAATCAACCTAGGTGATGACAATTACCGAAAATTGATCGTGTGTAGTTTGTAGAAGTGTATGAAAATGGCGCTAATAATTGGTACTACTTAATAACTAAAATATAATCTAAAGGTCACATCTATTATATATAGAGACACACACACATAGACCACAAACCCTAGTACAAGTACTAGTTAAGTATATTCTTCCTCATTTAGTCCAAAAACATGAAAAGACTTAGACATTGTATTGAAGATCTTGATTATTGGAATTAGATCGAGGTTTAGGTGTGAACGAAGAACCAAAGTAAAATAGAAAAAGCTAAAGGTTGGTCCATTCAACAAGTTACATCACTCAGATGATAATATTAAAGACATTTTATTTGACTAATCAAGTTTTAAATTTGATTTCATGTTTTTCAATTAAACTTGTGCCTAACCATTAATATAAGGTTTTCTTCATTATACATATAAATTATGCATTTCAAATTGACATTTAAATCGACAAAATGGTGTTAATAAAATGGAACGTAGGAAGTATCTTGGGTCATGTGAAAATTCCTCATAAGGCTTCTTTCAAACATTTTGCCAAATACGTACCCTGATCAGACAGAAAGCAGAAATGATTAAAAAGGAATACAGACAAACAAACATTCCCCTAATTAATCAGAACAACCCAAATTAGCTAAGTCTTAATAAAAATGATTATGACCAAAGGCTTAATTAAAAGGTTAACCTATTGCACATTAGCCTCCTCGTAAGTTGTAGGCACACCAAAGTTTGCAGGTTGTTGGCAAGTTAAACTAAATTATGAATAAACTAGTGAAATTTTCCGCGCGAAGCACGGTTATAAGAAATATCATTAAATCAAAAAAAAATGACATATAGTGGATGAGAGGATAATATTTTAAAATTAATATGGATATAAAAGATAATTCTACATATTGATAAATCATATACTTAGCATTTTGGTTAGAATTAGATTTTAGGTAACTGCATTTTTTCCTGATTTTCTTTTTAAAAGGAAATAAAAGAGAAAGGATTTTTAAGAAAAAAATTTCACTTACATATATTATAATTAATGAGGACGAAGTGAGAGGTTAATACATGATTCTTTAAGTAAAATTATATATTAGAGGCATGTAAATAGATAATTTTTTCATTAGATAGTAAAACATCGGCTTTGCTAAAATTTCTCCTATTCAAATAAAAGAAATATGAAATAAAAGTAAAGAACTAATAACGAAAAGAAAATAAAATAAAATAAAAAAATATGTGGAAATTGCTGCGTATTCTTTTTTATATTCCTTCTCGTTATGCCCTTCTTAGCCTTCATCTTTGCCTTTTCTTTTCTATTCATTAGTTTCCCTCTCAAATTCTCCATTCCAAGGAGAATAGAGTACTTCACTTCAGAATACTTGCTCAATTATTTGTATCCTCTCAGCAAAATAAAAAGTTTTTGTCTCATAAATAATAGCAATTCAAAGAAGAAAATCAAAACATAACTTTACAAAAGAAAGATAATTATCACAATACTTCAAAAAGAATCAAAAGTTACAAAGTAAACCAAATACTTTATTTTATTTTGCCGTACATATAATACATGATTTATCCAATCATACGAATAAAATGAAAGACAATTTACTACTTACTTTATAAAAATCACAAGTAGAAATGAAGTAGAAAATAATTTCTATTTTACAAGAAATAAACATGCCGATGGCTCAGCAAAGAAGAACCTGCGCCTGCTCTGTGACTTTTAGCCCTAAAACTTTTTACTGACTAAAAGAAATAAGAAGTGTTGCCGAAATATTCAATGAAGGGCGTATTTGAATGTTTAAAATTTATCCCTTTTACATAATGAGCTGTTATTAGTTAGTAGTTAGCAGACTTCCAACAAAGTTTAACTCATAAGTAATTAATTTGAGTCTAAACAAAAATACAAACTTGCGACAAACAAAAGTTCATAGAAAATAGAGCGAAAGAGAACACACGAGAAAGTAAATAGAGAAGAAAAGATACAACTTGAGACCTTAATCATAAGAATATATAGAAATGCAAGTCAGTGTATAATTTTTCGAGTTCTTGTCGACACCCCCTCCCGCAATATCGATCATTATTCAAGAGCCTTCTTCCTCAAGCCAAACTAAAACATGAATCAAATGTTGCACTAAATATGTAACGATCCGACTGGTCGTTTTGCCTTCTAGAACCCCGTTCCCCTAAATAAGACTTCCCGTACTTTCTTTAACTGATTTACGACTTGCGGGGAAAGTTGGTTCGTGATTTGGAAGAGTTTGGACTGAAATCGGAACACTTAGTTCCTTAAGGTTGGCTTAAAAGGCCAAGTTTGACTTTGGTCAATATTTTTAGTAAACAGACTCGGACTTACGTTTTGATAGTCCCGGAGGGTCCGTAGGAAAAAATGGGACTTAGGCGTATGCCCGGAATCGAATTCCGAGGTCCCTAGCCCGATTAATGAATTTTTTGTTAAAAATTATTAAACTGAAATTCTAAGGATTTAAAGAACTGAATAATGGTTGATCATGTTGGTATCGGGCCAGTATGTTGGTTCCGGAGCCCGGTACAGGTCCAATATAATATTTAAGTCTTGTCTGCGAAATTTGGTGAGAAACGGGATTGATTTGACGTGATTCGGACGTCCGGTTGTAAAAATAGGAATTTTGAGTGTTCTTAAGGATTTCATGCGTTTCGGAGTTGAATTCGTACTTTTAGATGTTACTTCGGCGATTTGATCGCTCGAGCAAGTTTGTACACTGTTGTTGGACTTGTGTGAGTGTTCGGAGTGGAGCCCCGAGCGCTCGGGTGAGTTTCGGGCATGGGTTGGGGGTGAAAAACACCCCAGTTTTCTGGTGTTTCTGGGTAGTGTTGTAGGCCTCGCAAATGCTTGCGAGGAAATCATCACATTTGCGATGAAGCCAGGCTGGGGAAGTTGTCGCATTTGCGACATTTTCCTTGCATTTGCGAACCCAGCAGGGTCCGCATTGCGACCCCAGTATCGCATTTGCGATCAAGGCAGGAGGGGGGCCTGTTCGCAATTGCGACTTTGCATTTGCGAACCTGATGTTGCAAATGCGACATCAGAGGCCTGGACACAGCTTTAAAAACGGGACTTAGGCCATTTATTTCATTTCACCTCTACACTTGCGCGATTTGGGCGCTTTCAAAGAGGAGATTTCAACCTAGAATTGTGAGGTAAGTTATTTATGTGAGTTTAATACTTGGGTTTTGAGTAGATTAACACACAAAAATTAGTAAAAATTCATAGGATTTGAGTAAAACCTAGGGTTTTGATAAAAACAAGATTTAACCATGAAATTTGTTATGGAATGAAGTAGAAATTATATATCCTTAGGAAATGGGTAACAACTTTCTTCAAATATTTTCGGAATCCGGATACGTAGGCATGGGGTCGAATTTTAGGAATCTTGTAATTTGGATTGGGGAATCACCCTAGTGGTTGGGATATGAACCTTTAAGCCTATATTGATTGGTTTCTACGCTATTTGGATAGTTTGGAGTGTTTGGCACCAAATTGAGGGTTTGGGCTTAAGCTTGGACCGGAAAGTACGCTTTGGAGCGAGGTGAGTCTCC